AACCAGCAGAATATTAGAATTATTAGTGCATTTAATATCAAGTTGATGTTTTTATGAAAACAGCGACTCCACTGTCCATCAGTTATTCAGCAATTGTTTCAATATCATATTTCATAGAATAAAATAACAAATATTAATATGAATCCAAATATTTAAGAGTAGGCAAAAGTTTGGGCGCCCCTGCACAGCTTCCATATTTGTGTTGATTTTCTGAGTGTGAATAAGTAAACACACCCTCTACACATTTCTGCACACTTCTGAACACTGAGGGATGTTGTTCATATTACAAACGACTGTAGTGTTGAGAGCTGAAGAGTCTGAAAACTGAAACCAGGTGTGCTTGTGTTTGGTATGAGTGTGTGTGTGGGTGTGTGTGTGTGTGTGTGTGTGTTGCTCACCAGCAGCTTTCAATTCATTCACTTCAGCACTTTTTGATTCTTTTAAAGCTGCAAAGTCACAGAAAAGGAGGAAAAGTTACATTCATGATTTCTAAACCCCTTCGTTCACTTTAACTGGGATGAGTGGCATCGTTCTTTTTCTTCTTTAAACAAAAATAAAATAAACAAAAACCGTGAAATATTTTTGATGACCTGACTATATTTTTTCTATAGAAGATGCTTTTTAATTTTCTAGATTAAACACAATTTAAGAGAAATGTCTGACTCAGTAATGTCTAAGCCGTCTAACCGTCCTTAGACTGAAACAAAAACTGAAATGAATGTGAATTAAGGAAAATTCACACTGAACTCCCACCAAAAGTCATCCTGGTGAGCTCAGACAGTAAAAAGACCTTCTGTAAAGTGTGAATTGTGTCACTTTAGTACAAACACAGCCTGACGCACCAAAACGTATCTGTATGAATTTGAGATATTTTCCTATTAATGATCTGTTTTCTGACACTCTTCAAACATCAGGGCAAAGTTTGTCTGTGAAGATGTTTTATTTGGTTCCCCAAAAGATTACAAAACCTTTTATTTGTTATTTGTTTTATTTGGATTTTCAGGTTCTTTATGAGGTAAATGTGAGGTACAAACAGGTTCTAGATATTAAACTGATGAAGGATATGGTAAAATATCTCAAAATGTAATAATTAAATGTCACTGTAAATTAAATCAGAAACTCCTTGACGTAGCAGGGAAGTTATATGGTAAAGTAAATAGTAAGAGCCCAGTAGAACCACAGACTCTGTGCTTTCGTATGCAGCCCAGATTCAGTTTAGTGTGTAGATAATAAACCGCTTTTTATATAGTAAGACTCTGTACTTTATATAACTTGTATGACATGATAAACAAAGTCAATAAAGTGACTGAACCTATTCAGATAGAAATGCTGTATCATCACTGTCCAAGAGAAAACTTATATGTGCTTTCTATTATTATTTTTCTGCATCATTTCAGCAGAGCAATCAGCTTTCGCATTTTCAAAATGTCGTGATTGATGGACCAACAGAACAGAAATTCTCCCTTAGATTTCATCGACTCACATGAAAAGCGAGTGTTTTTTCTTCTGCGGTGAACTTATTATTTTGAGATATTTGAGGTTTTTGCGATGATCTGCACAACAAGAAACACAACCTCCATTAAACACGTCAGTTCAGTTAAATGACTTACCGAAGAGTCCGATCATGATCAGGATAACGATCAATAACAGAGTGTTGAAGATCAACAGCACCATCATTAACCTGCAGCTCCTCACTGGCTCTGTTAGAGATGGACAGAGGAAATGTCCAGCAGCTCATTAGTGACAGTGAGACTGATTTGAATGTTACTTCTCTGCTGTATTGAAGGTTCTGTTTGTTCTCACCGTGTGTTGGGTTTGGGTTCTTCACTGAAGGAGGGTGGTGGAGCGTCTGGTACACGTCCTCCGTCTTCACACTCTCAGACATCTCCATCCTGCCCAGTGTACGTACTCTTCAGCGTTAAATGACCACTGAGTGCTGGACTGTCCTCTGCTGAGTCTGTGCAGAGACAGAATGAGGAACAGTTCTGTTTTCTCACGTTTCATCTAAACAACCAGCATGAAACTGTGTGGTTTACAAGAGAAAGAAAGAAGAAACATTTTGACCAGTTGTGCATGTCCTTAAATGTGGTTTCGTCATCCATTTTGGAGCACTTTGCTGCTCTGAGAGGTCCACCATGGTCAGGGGTCTCATTGTGCACAGTTTTGTGCATAAACCTGGAATGCACACATTGTTACACATAGAATGTGATTCACTATTGTTTTGTTGTGCATGAGAATGTTTGTACATTTAAAACTTCTCCTGACTGTGCATAAGTAGAGCCCCCCGGTGGTTGGAAAGTGTAATTACTAATAAACTTCCCAGAGGGAAATTCTTCTATTGCAGCAGTACAAAGCACAGTAAAGAGCAAACAACAGCAAAATGAACAGGAGCAAAGTGTTGCCATACACTATTTACAGATATAAAAATAGAAAATAGAGATAAAAAATAAAAATAAAATACACTAAAAAATAAAAGTAATGTGCAAAACTAAGAAGTAAATTGCATAAATACTATGCAAGTGTCAATGCAGTGGTGCATGTCCCCTCCAGTGAATGAACAAATGGCTATGGACTGTAGCAATAAATGTTAGTGGTTGTGCAATGTGACATTTATAGATGCATAAACAAAGTGACAGTGCAGTGTGAAGTATGTATAGATGTATAGTCATAGTAAAATGAGTGGAGAAATGTAGTGTCCAGCTGGTGCCCAGTGAGCCTGTCCTGTCAGTGGCTCAGTATACAATGGACATTAGGTTTAACGTCGATGTGTCTTACAATCAAAGCGATGATAATAAATTTTACTAGATCTCTGCGTCATTGATTGGTTTATCAATTTAATCAGGCCACTGATGCTTGGACCAAAATACATTGATATGCCAGAATCATGTGACTTTATTATTGAGTGAAATGTTAAACAGGCAGATTATACAGTGCAGTGCTGGTGTTCCCTCGTTTAGTGCAGACCATCGCAATAATGCATTCCCACCAGCAGCAACCTGAAGCTGGGTTCACTTTTAAGAAGACTAAGACCTGCAACTTTTATCAGACCCAAGTACAAGTGGGCTGTTCACAGCGGTCAAAACCGAAGTTTAAAAGGTCTGCAGTAAATGAGGTGGGTGTGCAGTTTAGTGTCTGTGCAGTTTAGGGAGAGAAGAGGGTTTTATTTCTGATGTAAACTTCCTGAGCTCAACCACAAAGTGGTGAACTCTACTTTGAAAAGTGGAGTGGCTACTTCTCTCAAAGCTTCACGTCTGTTTTTCGCTATTTGTTGTTAGTTCCACACTCTATACTGAGGAAAAAGTGCATAAAATTTATAAATAAATAAAAAACTAAACAATGTAAAATATAACATCTCTGTAGGAACAAAACCTCACATCTCCAGAAAAGTGATGTTCTTACATTTCAGTGTCGATATAGACTGATTTTATTCAGTCTTTCCGCTGCCGTTGTTTTCATCCTTAAATTTTGTACTCGGTGTAAATGGAGCTGGTATTTTTGAACTGTCAAATAAAATTGAAAAAAAAATAGAAATTGAGATACAGGGTTTAGTTCTGACAGTGACGCTAAGTCATTTTTTTTAAATTATTAAGCCTTTGAGGTAAATTTGCAGACACATGGACTTTTTTTAATCCAGTTATAATGACCTAAGCAGTGGACTTTTTCCCCAGTTATTTTGTGGTCAGTGTGATTCCAGATGTTCTCAATCTCAAATGAACCACAAACTTGCAAACTGGTCCTGATGAAGAAACTGCCAACAGCTGTGGAAACAGAAGTGTTGTTCCATCGGGTCTTCCGATTCTATGGTCTACCAGAAGACGTTAATGTTAGTCTCACTTCAGGGCATCATCCGCAGTCGAATGGGCAGGTAGAGCGACTTAACCAAGAAATAGGGCACTTTCTAAGATCATATTGCGGACAGGCACAAAACGATTGGTCTCGCTTTTTACCCTGGGCCGAATATGCACAGGATTCTCTCACTAACTCCTCCACTGGTTTAACTCCCTTTCAAAGTGTTCTGGGTTTTCAACCTCCTTTATTCCCCCGGTCAGGTGAACCCTCCTCAGTCCCAGCTGCACATGAGTGGATAAGGAGAAGTGAGCATTGGGAGGAGGCACATGTAAGACTTCATAAGGGCGGTTCATAGACACAAAGGGCAGGCTGATCATCACTGCCGTAGAATTAACTCCTTTCATCCTGGACAGATGGTATGGCTATCTACTCGTGATCTGAAGTTGAAGTTACCATGTAAGAAGCTCAGTCCTAAATTGATTGGCGTTGTTGATTTTATTCTCAAACTTGCACTTGACTCCTACCTGGTATGAAGCTCAACATGACACCTATATTACTGTACAAAACTGTATATTGGAATGGTTCAATACTGGTGTGTATTAATGTATATATTAAGTGTCTAATATATTATCCCTCTTTTTACAACAAGGGGGCAACACACCTATGATTTTCACTCACTTTCACACCTGTATATATGTGATGTGACAATAAACGTGATTTGATTTGATTTGATTACAGTTATGTTCCCTAAGTAAAGGTACTGAAGACGCACCCTTGAGTTTCACCCCAGTGACAGTTCAGTCCTTTTCTTTTTCTTAAAACAGGACGTCACCCACTTCCCAATCCTAACAGTCTGACTAATCAGAAACTATTTCCAGGTTTCTGTAAAACAGCTGCTGATTCAGCTCATCAGCTCATTAAGAAGGCTGCATTCAGAGTCTAGATGAGGGAAAACACTAATCTCTGCAGAGCTGTGACCCAGAAGGAACCCAGTCTGACACTTTTGGTCTTCACCATGGTGGACAAGTCAAAGCAGCAGTGTTTTTCAAAATGGTCTCCAACCAATGATGCTTTCAGTTAGAGCCAAGTTCTCATGACTTCTGGGAAACCACCAGCCCACAGCTGGTCTAAACGTTCCTTCTATCCATGTGCATATCACACTGATTCACGCTGGTTGAGAAACGAAACCTTAAAAAACAGAAGTGTTCCTCATTCTGTCTCCCCACAGACTCAGCAGAGGACAGTCCAGCACTCAGTGGTCATATAACGCTGAAAGGTTGGTACACTTTCATTACTCTGTACTGCCGCCTGATTGAGTTCACTGATAACAGACAGGTGGGATGTTTGTGCTGTAGATGAACGTTTATCAGGACACGCTGCCGAGGAGCAGAGCGGAGTCGGAGTGTGTGAAGAAGGAGGACGTGTACCAGACTCTCCACCACCCTCCTACAGTGAAGAACCCAAACCCAACACACGGTGAGAACAAACAGAACCTTCAACACAGCAGAGAATTAACATTCAAATCAGTCTCACTGTCACTAATGAGCTGCTGGACGTTTCCTCTGTCCATCTCTAACAGAGCCAGTGAGGAGCTGCAGGATAAAGATGGTGCTGTTGGTCTTCAACTCTCTGTTATTGATCGTTATCCTGATCCTGATCGGACTCTCTAGTAAGTTTTTTAACTGTAGGTTGTGTTTATTGTTGTGCAGCTACTGTTACTCTCTGAATTTGCCACTTCACTGACTACATTTGTCAATTTATTGATTATTTTTACCATGTCACACATTTTAGCAACACGTTGCTTAAAAAATGTCTTTGTTTATTGTCTGAGTAAATACACCACAATTAATTTAGAGAAGTATTTTAAATAGTTACAATGTTTTTGAATAATATTCCATAAGTATTTTAATGCTACTATTCAATTATGGCAAAGTAAACTAATTCCAGCCTTTTAATGACATTTCAGTATTTATCTGATAGTCTAATGATGGTTACACCCAAAATGTACTTGATTTAGAGCATTAAAACGTTAAAAATCTTCCATAGAAGAAATGTAGTCAAGTGAGTTGTAGGCCTGGGGATTCACCTCCACGCCTCCAGAGGTCGCTATCTCCCCAGTTTTCATTTTTTTTTCTACACTTGTTTCTCTGTTGGGGCTCATAAGTGAGTTTTAAATAACCTATCTGTGTTGTATTTTCCTGTAAAGTCTTGTTAGCTACTCTACTGCAGTTCTAAACCTGTTTTCTCATTATTCTCTGGTTAGTTTGTGGTTTTGACCTCTGAACTGTAACGATTTTTTTTAAGAAAAGTGAGCTTCACTTTATTTACCCAGTTGCAGAGCGGGAGGCGTTAAATATCATCATTGTCATTTTCCCTCTTTAATTTTGTTTTGTGATGTTTCAGCTGCAAAAAACCAACAGTGCTGATTTGAATAAACCACAACCCTCTGGTGAGCAGCGCACCCACAAAACAGACACAATTACATCCGCTTTCAGCTTTTCACCCATCAGTCCTCTGTACTACAATATAAATAAGTGAACAGATCCTCAGTGGAGAACACACTGAAATATGGCATTATCTGTTTACAGCACAGTTTCTGTTCATGTGCTGAGTTTAACATATTGGACAAAGATAAAACATAAATTACAAACTGTGCACAGGACACATTATGTTTTATTTTTTGCCCCTAATATGTTGATCTATATGTTGAACATGTTATTGATATGTCTTATTAATATGATTCCAAGCTTTTCAATAATATCTGAATGCTTCCTCTCAAAAGCAATAAGTAAGATTTTATCATTGGACACTTTAAGCTCTAAAACTGCAATAAACCATATTATAGAAACACATTCTTCCAAATATAGAATCAAACCATGTTTGTCTATGTTTGTTAAAAGTAGCTTTAATGCTCGTGATGCTGCAGCTGCAGAAAACCAGTAAAATACAGAAGTGAGCTGAAGAGAAGACGCTGGTAGAGACACATGAGGAACTTTTTCAATACAGAAGCAGAACAGCATTTCTGCTTTTCACTGATATCGACCATTTAAGACTTAACGTACGGTCAAATCAGTTCTAGGATCTTGATGATGACAGTGGAACTCAGTGGAACCGCAGATGACCGTTGAACCTATTACACCTTTCAGAAATATAGAGTAAATTTTTTGGAGGTGTCATCAGCTTTGAATATTTTTTTCAGGTATTTTAGATGGTCAGTAGAGGTGATCTGTGAAAATACAGCATAATGTCATCTTTAAAAATCTACAAGTTTCAAGAAACAGAAGTTAAAAAGACTGAAATGCAGGCTTGATTTCCTTCTTCTTGTCAGACTGAGATGATCTGTGTCTGTGTGAGTGGTAGGTGAGGACAGTGAGAGGGAGGAGCTGTGGCGTCTCTACGACAGTGTGTTTTATCTGTTCTGGGAGGCTGAGGGGAGCTGCACCGAGGCCCTGAAGTTCTGTCAAGATAGAAACTCCAGAATGGGCATCGTTACAAATGAGAACAAGGTACTTGTGGAGAAATAACAATAATGTAATGTTTATATGATACAACCTCATTTCCTAAAAAGTCGGGACGCGGTGCAAAATGTTAATAAAACCATGCAATGATATTCAAATCAATAAACATTATATTTAATTGAAAATAGTTCATGCCAAATGTTGAAACTGAGAAATTTTATTGTTTTTTGCATTTTGAATTTGATGTCAGAAACACATTTCAAAAAAAGTTTAGTCAGGGGCAACAAAAGACTGGTAAAATTGTGCAAAGCTAAAAAAAAAACACCTGGTGGAACATCTTACAACTAATTATTTTAATTGACAACAGGTCAGTAACATGATTGGGCATAAAAGAGCATCTCAGAGAGGCGGAGTCTTTCAGAAGTAAAGATGAGGAGGGGGTCACCATTCTGTGAAAGACTGCACCATCAAATAGTGCAACAATTCAAGAAGAACGTTTCTCAACAGAAAATAACAAAGAACTTTAGCTTTTCATCATCTACGGTACATAATAACATTAAAAGATTCAGAGAATCTGGAGAAATCTCTGTATGTAAGGGACGAGGCCAAAAACCAGTATTTGCTGGCCGTGATCTTTGGGTTCTCAGACAGCACTGCATTAAAAACAGGCATGATTCTGTAGTGGAAATCACTGCATGGGCTCAGAAACACATCTGAAAACCACTGTCTGTGAAAACAGTTCATGACTGAGTCCATAAATGCAAGTTAAAACTCTAAAACGCGAAGAAGAAACCAAATATAGACAGGATCCAGAAATGCTGCCACCTTCTCTGGGCCCAAGCTCATTTAAAATAGACTGAGGCGAAGTGGAAAAGTGTCCTGTGGAAAAATTAAAATTCTTTTAGGAAATCATGAAGGGTGCAACCTCCAAGCTAAAGAGGAGAGGGAGCATCTGGCTTATTATCAGCGCACAGTTCAAAAGCCATCATCCATGGTGGTATGGTAATAGTGCACATCTGTGAAGGTTTTCAGGGAAGGCCTTGATTATTTCAGCAAGACAATGTCAAACCACATTCTGCACGTATTACAGCAGCATTGCTCCATAGTAAAAGAGTCCAGGTGCTAAACTGACCTGCCTGCAGTCCAGACCTGAGTTAAATGAAAAACTCAAACAAATGAGCCCCTGAACTGATGAGCAGCTGAAATCCGGTATCAAACAAGAACAGTAAAACATTTCACTTTCAAAACTACAGCAGTGTCTCCTCAGTGTTTTTAAAGAAGAGGTGATGAAACACAGAGGTAAACAGGCCCCCGTCACAACGTTTTTTGGAATGTGTTGTTGGCATCAAATTTAAAATGGGCAAATATTTTCAAAAAGCAATCAAATGTCACAGTTACATTTGATATGTTGTCTTTTTACTTTGTCAATTAAATATAGGGTTTAAATGATTTGCACATGATCGCTTTCTGTTCTTTCCATTTTGCTCAGTGTCCCAACTTTTTTGGAAACGAGGTTGTAGTACAACAATGTTTATAATAAGTCTACAGTTGAAAACACAAATGCGGTACTTATTGCAGCTTTTAGAAACACCTTTAGTATTTTCACTGAGTTGCTATTACAGGTGGCCTATAGTACTGTTCAAATTTCCATGACAAAATGAATTAGAAAGATTTCTAAGACTATATTTTTCCTGTTGTGTGAATTTAAGGTGAAATAAGTTGATTTGAATGTTATCGTTTGTGTTGTATATTATACTTAGCTCCGTTCAGTCATTTTGTCATTCGATATTTCAGATGTGATTTAGGAGCTTAAGGAGCAATCATAACTAAAAATGAAATTTGAAATTCTGAATGGTTGCATGAATTAAATTTTTAAAAATGTTTTGCTTGAATCATTGAAATCAGACAGGGCCAAATTGAGCTGGAGTGGAACAACTCTATTGCAAGCTGATGTAAAGTTAGATAGCTCTGCGGTGGTCCTGAATGGGCTGCTGTAGATTCTGAGAGGGGGGTTAAGCAAATGAGCCTCAAATGAAACCCTGCTGTGTGTGTTTGTGTTTGCAGGACTGGATTCTGTCTCAGGCAAACGGGAGGAAGCTGTGGGTGAACATGGTGAGATTCACTCTCAGTATTATTGAGCTCATTGATCACAGTTAGAGATGTAGTGATGAGGACTGAAGCCCTGACCAGCTGGACTAGTGTAACCACAGGACGTCCAGTAATGTGATTTGTTGGGATTCAACTGGCCGATTTGTACACTTTTTAAAAAGATGGTTCTTCAGTGGTTCTTTAATAAAGGGAATGGTTCTAATTAGAAAGATGAGATCTATATCAAATCATTTCATGCTTAAATCATTTCATGCTTAAATGCTTCTTTCATAGTAAAATTGTTTCTAAAATTGATGGAGAATGTGTTGTGTTTGGCTCTATATAGGACCTTTTTGAAAATAATTCTGTCTAGCACTAAACAGGTGTGACCAAAAGGGTATAAAGCAACGCTCTCTAAAATAATTTCATGCCACAGGTTCTTTATTTGTAAAAAGGAGAACCAAACATGTCTCTCAAAATAAAAGATCAAATTTATTTTGTTTACAACGCGCAAACCTTTCAGTGGAAAAATTCTCACATTTATTTAGACCAAAGGATGTCCTACTTTAAGACCATATGTCCTACTTTAAACACCAAACTGCAAAGTTATAACGGTAACACTTTCTATGAATGTCACATTTGTAAGCATCTATAAACACATTTATACCATGTTATAATGCCTTCATATGGCATTATAAACATGACTATAAACATTTATAAAAATGAATTACACTTTATAGCCATGTTTATTATACATTATGAATTGTTAATATAATGCATTATAAGTAGTGTTAATAACATGTTATACTGTCAGTGCCAAAGAAGTCAGTCCCAGCTTGGAGAGCGTAAAGTAAAGACAAATACCAAGCTAACGGTGGTGAACATTACCTTTCCCACATTGGGTAAAACACTGATGGCAGCTCTAGTTTA